GGCGGAGGCCCAGCCACAGACAGGGCAGGCGTTGGGCTGGAGGGGCCCTGGGTGGTGGGCTACCCTGCTAGGAAGCTCCCCTACTGCCCACCCCCCTCCTTCAGGTACCAGATGCTGTACCAGGCGGGTGTCTTTGCCTCCCGCTCTTCCCTCCACTGCTGTCGCATCCGCTACACGTGGGTCTTGGCTCTGCTCCAGGTAACGGTGCCCGACCCTCACTCCGGTCCGCCTTGGCTCCCGACTTCTCCATCCCTCTAGTCCCTGTGTGTACTGGGGTACAGTCGTTCCAAGAGGTGGGGGGGGGGTCCCACAACTAGGGGGTGGTCCTGATCGACTGGGAGACACACGCAGGATGACTCAAAGGCCCCAGGTGAGGGGCGGTGGAACAACGTTACTGCTGAGCAAAGGCAGGGGGGTGAGTTGGGGTGTGAGGGGAAGGCCCTGGGCAGCCTGGCTGGGGTTTGGGGTTTTATGGAAGCCCATCCTCTCCCTCGCTAGGACCTGGAGGCCTGGCCTCAGCCTTCCCCTCTGCCCCCTCCCACAGTGCCTCAACCTGGCCTTCCTGATGGCCGACGTATGGTTCGGCTTCCTGCCAAGCATCTACCTGGTCTTTCTGATCGTTCTGTATGAGGGGCTTCTGGGGGGCTCGGCCTACGTGAATACCTTCCACAACATTGCCCTGAAGGTCAGCCCCCGCTGGGTTAGGGTTACGGGGGGCGCTTCCCTGGGACAGCCCAGGGGAGGGGTTTCAGGACCCAAGCCTGACCCCCACTCCCCTCCTCCACAGACCAGCGATGACCACCGGGAGTTCGCCATGGCGACTGCCTGTATCTCAGACACCTTGGGGATCTCCTTGTCGGGGGCCCTGGCCTTGCCACTGCATGACTTCCTCTGCCACCTCTCCTGACCCCCGGGCTCCTGAGGGCCTGGATGCACTGCCTGTGGGCCAGCAGGCAGGTCAGCCAGGCCCAGAGCCCAGAGTCCAGAGCCCACCCACGAACTCCGCTGTGGAAAGTCCCCACAGCCCCGGGAGGGATGTAAGTGCCACGGCCCTGCTTTCTCTGAGCGTGGGGACACCCGAGGGCCGCCACAGCCTCCCAGCCCCGAGCTGGTCTCAGGGAGTTTCTTATGGCTTTATGGGGGACACCCGAGGGCCGCCACAGCCTCCCAGCCCCGAGCTGGTCTCGGGGAGTTTCTTATGGCTTTATGGGCCTCGGAATAAATGCCTATTCTATCAACCGACTGCCTTGTATTATAGTCTCTCTGGGGGCTGGGGGTTGTTATTAAAGTAATTCAAGCTCACTTAGGCATCTATGTATGTGTACATATATGAGAAGGCTTCAAGAAGTCTCTTTTAATTCAATCAAATGTGTTCAAGCACTCTCTTGTGTATATGAATACATGTGTGTAAATATGTATATAATTAAAAACAGACAAAATACCAAACTCAACTGCTATTGAGTCAATGCCCCCTCGTCACAACCCCACAGGTCAGGGAAGGGCTGCCTCTGGGTTTCTGAGGTCTTGACTCTTCACCGGACTAGAAGCCTCATCTTTCTCCCGTAGAGCAGCTGGCGGCTTCAAACTGCCGACCTTGTGGTTAGCAGCCTAGCACATACCTGTGAGGGGAGGTCAAATGCTTAAAGACATCCTCCCTGAAGACAGTCAGTCACCAGACTACTGTAGGCCCCGCTCCCTGCTGTTAAGGACAATGGACAGGCCTGCAGTCATCCGTTTGGTTCCTGTAGATGGAGGGCACACCCCACTGATAATGATCTCTATCAGTTGAGCCAGGGAACAGGTCAAACTGGCTCAGTGACATCCAAGTTAGGCTGCCATCCTGTATCTAGGACCTGCCCATCTTGCCACATGTATATTGCCAATCCCTCCTCTTCCTATTGCGTGGATACCCCTAGATCACCCCCTCCCATTACTGTATTACCTATAGCACAACCCTTTCCTGTGACATGTCTTCACCTGTAATTAGGGGGCTTGCATGTCCCCAGAGAATCTAAAAGCCTTGGTCAGCATTAAATATCGCTTTCTCCATGTGGACCACCAAGCGAGGCTGAGGTGAGCATGCTACTATGAAATGTGTCTGACTCCATTATTTCAATATCTCTTACCTCTCATGCTCTCTATGACTTTACTATAATCTTTACTTATTATCGCTGTACAATTGCACCTACTGGACCCGTGATGATGTGTAGGGGCAGGTACCCTGGCACACACCCGACAGGTAGCTAGATTAGGGACAAAGTGGGTGTGTTAGTCTGGGTCAATTAGAGAAATAAATCCACAGAAACATATATATGAGAGAGTTTTATATAAAGGGTAAGCGTACATTCAGAAAGCGTTCCCACCCAGTGCTGTCCAAGCTCATAGGTCCAGCATTAGCCCATCTGTCCGACACAATCTACAGATTCTTTTACAGTCCCTGCAGCAAGAGACATGCCAAGGTGCCAATTGTACGGTAACCAGCACCACAGGAGCGTGCACAAACCCACCCATTGGGTGCTGTGTGCTGTTAGGAGTGAACTGTGTTCTGTCATGGGAGGGAGGGAGGGAGGGAGGGAGACCACAAGCCATCGCTGCTTTGGGCACCATCACTCATTGACTATAAGATACAGGGGACCAACCCACTTTTTGGAACTTGGAGGGGCACAGGAACTCAAGGAGTTTTTCTCAGCTCAGAATGAGCAGAGGTGAATTCCCCCCACCCCCACTCCTGTTAGGCACCAACCAAGCTAAACTGCCCCATACATGATAACGCCCTCTTGTGGTCTGAGGTGGTTAGTTTATTGTGCCAACCTGGCCGATAAGCACATGTGGGATTAATTGAAGGGTGAAGGGTTAAATGGCTTGGTGAGCCTCACCTTTCTAGTTCTTGGGTCTCTTGCTTTCTGATGGTCGGAGCAGGGTGCAGCTGCCTTAGCCAGTTCCCTGCTTCAGCTGGCAAGGCTCACTTCCTGCAAGACATCCCTGAGAAGAAGCCACATGGACCTACCCCAATGCAGCCCAGGGTGCTGCATGCAGCAGCCGTGTGGAGACCCCTGCCAACGCAATGGAAATCATGTTATGGTTGTGGGGGGGGCAGGGGTCACCACCACATGAGGAACTGCATGAAAGGGTTGAGGAATTAGAAAGGTTGAGAACCACTGGTCTAGATCGCTGGCATTCGGGGTTGGTGCATAAACCCAAATAGCTGTCAGATTAGCTGGTCTTTCTTTTTGTCCACAGTTAAACTTTAACTTTACCTTTTACAATCTTATCTACATGTCTCTGTTCTTTCTTTTCTACAAATATAACAAGTTATGTTTCTATCTGATTCTGCAGATCTAATCATGACTGATCGGCAATTGTGCTGTGCACTCCCTGATGCAGGAGGTGCTCTGAGAAGTCTTTCAATGACACCAACAAGTGGGCTTCAGAGGCCTGGCCAGAGCGAGCACTTCCTATGGTCCCCGTCTCCTTCCCACCGCAGCCTTCCCAAGCTCATGTCCACGGTGTGCAGACTCATTCTGCGAACTTCCCTTAGCTTGTCCCAAACATTCTGCGACTCTTCTTGTAGCTTCAAGCTGTTTCATGCAATGCAAAATCCCACGTCAGCGTAACCGTGGTCAGCTAGTCTTTCTTGTAGGCAAATGGTTATTACTCTGTCACCTTGTATAGACCATTGCATTTCAGGATAGATCTTGAGATGTTTGCTTTTTTTTTTTTGCCATCAATACAACATCATTCCTGTTCAGGTTTCATTCCCAGCATAGTACACCCTATGATTGTCTAAGTCAAAAATGGCCCAAACTCGTCCATGGTAATTCACTCAGGTCTGGGCTATCAAACTTTTGCATTCCATCCCACTTTTCAACAGCTTACTATTTGCTTAGGTTCGTACTGCATACATTCCATGTTCCGATTATTAGTGGAGGTTTGCAGCTGTTTCTTCTCATGTTGAACTATGCCCCTGCCGCATAGGAAGGTCCCGGAAGCTTTCCCCCTTCTACACCATTAAAGGTGACTAGTTCAGCGGTTCTCAACCTGTGGGTCGCGACCCCTTTGGGGGTGGAACGACCCTTTCACAGGGGTGACCCGATTCATCACAGTAGCAAAATGACAGTGATGAAGTAGCAACGAAATCATTTTATGGTTGGGGGGGATCGCCACCACCTGAGGAACTGTCTGAAAGGGTCATGGCATGAGGAAGGTTGAGAACCTCTGGTCTAGTTCGAGGAGGCAGCCCTTCCCTGGTCGCATTTTCAGTGTTTTCCCATCAGAGGGGCTCACCTTCGGGCATGATATCAGATAAGGAACTGATGGTGGGGCGGGGAGATTTCTTTTCCCTGGTATATTCTTTTGTGCTATTTACATTTTGTAATCATGTGTTTTCATGTACAGTTTAAATTATAAAAGCCATACATAGGAAAGGACTTTATATACATGTGCATTCTAGATGCGTTAAAAATATTTGTGGCTGGCAGCCCAGGCGCTGGTGTTGTGAGACCAAATATTGTGCCCGGGACGTGCCTGGCTGGTTCAGAGCTCTTGAAGACCTGGTCCCAGGGCTAGAGGGACTCACAGCCAGATCAGAAGCACTCCCGAATTCCCACGCCACAGGTTCCCCCCACACCCCCACACCTCCATCCCTGTCTCTCTCACACACACCACCCCCACCCCCACCACCTGTCTGTCTGGGCCCACAGAGGCCCGGACCTGCACCTCCTGCATTATCAATGCAAGGGTGGGATCTGGTTCCTAGATGTGACGGTCCAGCCCAGCTGTCCAAGCCAGTCCTTCCCCTCTCCTGCGTGCATCAGGGGCTCTGCCTGCCTCACGGGTGCTAGACCTCACAGGACCACCTTCTTGGGAACCCATGTGCAATTGGACGACCTACGTTGTAGATTCCAGAGGGGAAGGTGAGCATCGCTATTTAATTACTAATATGCTTGAATGCCTTAGAAAAGGTCCTAATGGGGCAATGGTTGCCATTGGGCTGCTAACCACAAAGTCAGCACATCGAAACCACCAGGCAGCTCCAAGGGAGAAAGATGAGGCTCGCTACTCCTGTGAAGAGTTACCGTCTCAGAAACTCACAGGGACAGTTCCAGTCTGTCCTATAGGGTCGCTATGAGTGAGAATAGACTCAATGGCCGTGAGATTCTGAGTCTCAGAAGAGGCCAGACTGGCTTGGCACCTTGGTGGCCGGTGGCCCCGCAGAGCCTCTGATAGGAAATTTTTGCTGCTGCAACAAAGCAAAACAAAAACCAAACCAAACGGTGTGGCTATCTAGTGAATCGTGTTCATGGCTCATTCGCTGGCTGCATGGAGTCCATTCCGGTTCTGACCCGAGACAGTAACTCTTTACGGGAGTAGAACGCCTCGTCTTTCTCCCAGAGAGCGTCTAGTGAACTCGAACTGCTGACCTTGTGTTAGCAGCCTGGAGCATCATCCACTAAGCCACCAAGGCTCCTTCCTTGTTTATTAAGACCTTGATTTATCTAAGATATCCCAACTGTTATGTTTCATTTTTCTTTAAACAAAAAACCAGCCCCAAACACGGATGTGGCTTCATCTTTAAGTTTTGCCTGCGTCATCCCCCTTTGCTTCCATCACTTGGCTGTAGTCCACTAGTCCACTCTGCATTCCTTTGTTGCTGCTGTTAGGAACCGTTGATTCGATTCTGACTCAGTCTGGCTAAGCTACTTTCTGCCACAAGGCTTCTACACCCACTGCTCCCTCTGCAGGACAGACTTTTGGCCTAGAACACCTTCCCTGTGCCTCCTTTGTCATGTGGATCTCAATCCTCACACCCTTTTCTTTCCTCCAGAGTTCCCTATGAGTCAGAATCCGTTTCATGGCACTGAGGTGGATTTTGATTTCGTGTATTGTCCCTATTCAAAATAATATTCTTCTGAAACCAGTTAATGTTTTTGTGGTGCTTATTAAGAAGCCCTGAAGGCATGGTGTTTAAAGCCCTGGGCTGCTGCTCCTGGGGAGAAAGATTTACAACCCTGGAAACTCTATGGGAACAGCTGTACTCTGTCCCAACTCAATAGCAACAGGTACTCCCTGGAATTAAGTTTGGTTGCTTACTTATTAAGTCACTCCACTAGAATGGGACCTCTGTGAAATCGGGAACCTTGTCTGTTTTGTTCATGGTTCTATTGACTGCCTGGGACATAGTAGGCACTGTGGGTGGGTTCATAATAAATGCTCAGTAAAAAGTACCTGTGGGATAAGAAGTG